TTTGTCTTTTTCTCTTTCTAATTTATTCTCTCTTTTCCCCCTTAATTTTTTTTCTCTCTTTTTCTTTCTACCATTCTTTTCTTCTGTGTTTGCTTCAGGAATTACAGCTCAGGAAATTTCCTATAATAAAAGATGAGATGAGAATATCAAACTCGGCTTTTAAATAGAGAGAAAGAATCTCACGTTGAATGACAAATTATTGCACTTTCCAAAAATCATATTTGGCACAGAAAGAAGACATAAAGCGAAGTGAAAGAAAGTTCTTGATTCCAACGGGGATTCCATGAAATCCAAACTCAATATTCAAGTACCCCAATCACGCAGTTTTATGTATTGCAACTTCCACTGTTTGTATGGATAGCAAATACAACTCATGACACGAACAATATAATTACGATCATTGCCTTAATGCGTCAATATTTGTAACAAAGATAAAGTGAACACACACACACACACACACAAAACAAAAACGGTGAATCTAAATAAATACGGAGCAACTCGTATTTTTACCTTAAGAGGTACTAAAATAGAATTTGCATTAACTATAGAACTTTCCTTTAAATTCATGGAAGCAGAGAGTAGGATGATGATGATAGGGATTTATGCATGGACTTCCAATCTCACAACCTTGAGGCATCCTAAGATTGTACCCTCATCCATATCAACTTTGTGCTCACCAACTACTTGACAATCACACAATGCATCGGAAGAATACTTAATTTAGAGAAGATCAAATAACCGAAAATAATTATAGAAAAGGTACTTGTAGAAAAATAATAATCATTATTTACAAGTGTAGAACATAATGCACACAATAAGGCACAACAACAAAGAAAAAGGCAGACCTCCTTTGGCTGGAATTGTCCACCACCAACGGCAAAGGCATGCATTTCTTACCGCATAAAGCGAACTTACAAAAATTTGAGGCAAGGAAGAGAATAGACCTACCATAAGAGAGAAATTGAAACTTACATAAAGACACAAATATACATTGAAAAGATTAATTTGACAAATAAAAAGTAATTAATAGTAATAAGACCACGTAATATAAAAATACATAATAGTATAAAATACGAAGACTACAAAGTAAGTTTTCTTAAAATCTCAACCTTTTACAATGCTTAAGGTGATGCTTTTCTATATCTATCCCTTCCCATGAGCCTCCTCTGAGCCTTTTCTGCAGCTGCTGCTTCTTTGTTGAATTGCATATAGCAATTCTTCTTCTAACCCCTTATCACTCTCTATTCTTTTTTTTTTTTTGCTCTATTTCTATTCTATTCCATTGCATTGTTATTTTTTTTATGCCCGTTCCTTTTTCTATTTAACTTTTTTATTCTTCTCTTCCTTTTCGTTCCACTCTTCATTCACTCACTTTTTTTTTAATTATTTTTTAATCTAAAATTTGATAATAGGATATGGAGCTTATCCTTGTGTTACCTACATCATTTGTATAGCCTATAACAATGCAAAGACGTTAGTTAGTATCGCATAAAGTTCAATAAAGCACACTGTATAAGTTCAATAAAGCATTTAACCACTCGTCAGTCAAGTGTTTCAGCTAGAGACAATGTACACCTTTGTAGTTTTTAAAGCTGCTAAGGTTTGGGAATTTTTCTAAAATGGAAAGTTCAATAGTGAGAAGAGAAAAGTGAAAGTGACAGACGTAAAAGTTGCGGCATGATTTCTAGGGGACGAGATGCACAAAAAAGAAAGTTATCAACATAATTAGTAAAACTATAATTTGAGTTTTCAAATCATAACACAAAGTTCACTAAATATACAAGAACTTAATCAATCTACAATTCCTAGAAAAGTGATGGTTCCCAAAGAAAATTAGACTGCACAAGCGTTATGAGATTTGTTCCTTATTGTGTCTTGTGAAAAAAGTATTCTTATTATGATAACAAACTGTCTTGAGACTCATTACTCAGTTATACAAGGCGACACAAACCCTTTCTAACAAATAATTTTGATCAAGCAACACAAGAAAATGTAAAGTCACACTACACCTCGAATCTCACCATGTTAATTGCAATCAAGCTTTTTTATAATGAGGAAAATAAAGGCGCATGAGCTTTATCCCCATTCAAAATTGTCATCATGTGTTGGGTCTTTAATATATCTCGGGCTTAAATATTCACGTGTTGGGCTTTCCAATTAATTTACCCACACGATTGCCCATTGTCCAACCCACACATAAGGGGGTGTGTTAAAGTATAAAACTATTATTGGCCCACCTCCTAACAAAGCTTTTGGGATTGATTGGTAAACTAACAAGAGGCAATAAGGAAAAACAACAAACCTTGTTTAATTTGAATTAGAGAGAGAGAGACTACATTCAAAAAGTTTAATTTGATAGCTAAAAGAAATTAAATCACTCTTAAACCATAAAATTGATATATATACTCTAGTAGAGAACTACTACAAGTCTACAACCTCATAGTTTGGTTTTCACCAAATCTATCAAATGTTCCTTTTTCTTTCTTTCTTTTTTTCTTTTTTCCGTCAGTTTCGTGCGTGCGGCTTCAAGAACTGGGAAATTTTCTACAATAGAAGAATATGATCAAATTTATCTCATTCTACCTTAGAATATCCAATCACTTGAAACTAATCCGCTTCCTTTTTCTACCAAAAAAAAAACTGTATTGTGAGCTGAAAATACATTTCATTATTCAAGGGTGAATGTGTAATTGAGCTGCTTTTATTTTATAGTAGCAAATTCAAAAAATTTGTACAGCTGAGCTCCTTTTATCGTTCACGTCAAAAGATTTTCAAAGATACTTGCAGTGGGGCCTAGCTCTCTGAGTTGTAAACCATTTCACATATGTAAAGTAAATGGCAATCTATTGCTTAAGCCTTAAGATTTAGTCAAATTATTCAAATATGTGTTTTGGGTGCTATGTTAATGTTTTCATCCCTTCGAATATGCTGCTTTGATCTATTTTTCTTTAAAATGCAAAAGAAATGAAAAAAAAAAAAAAAAACACTTGCACTTTACCGGACCAATCCATCTAATCTGTCATTATAATGTAAAACGATAATCCTGACCGTAGAATAAGTACAAGGTTGTCCCACGGCTGTCCCGCGGCTGTACAGGGGTTGTACGGGGGCTACCCCAGGGCTGTACCGGGGCTACCCTGGGGCTGTCCCGGGGCTGTCCCACGGCAGTACCGGGGCAGTACCGGGGTTGCCCCGAGGCTGTCCCGGGGCTTTTTTTGCTGCCCCGGGGCTGTACGGGGGCTGCCCCGGTCCTGTCCCAAGACTGTCCGGGGATGACCTGCGGCTGTCCCAGGGCCGACACGGGGGCTATACCGAGGTCGACCCGGGGCTGTACCGGGGCTGTCCCGGGACTGTACCAGGGTTGTACCGGGGCTGTCCCGGGGCTGTCGCGGGGTTGTCCTGGGGCTGTACTGGGGCTGTACCGGGGCTGCCCCGGGACTGTACCGGGGTTGCCCCGGGACTATCCCGGGGCTGTACCGGGACTGTCCCAGGGATGTACCGGAGTTGTACCCGGGCTCCCCCGGGGCTCTCCCGGGGCTGTCCCGGGGCTTTATCGGGGTTGTCCTTGGGTTTTACCGGGGCTGTACTGCGGCTGTCCTGGGTCTGCCCCAGGGCTGTCCCGGGGCTATACCGTGGCTGTACCGTGACTGTACCGGGGCTGCCCTGGGGCTGTACCGGGGTAGACCCGGGGCTATACCGGGGCTGTCCCGGGGCTGTATCGGGGCTTCCTCGGGGCTTTCCTGAGGCTGTACAGGGGCTATCCCGGGGCTGTCCCGAGGCTGACCCGGGGCTGTACCGTGGCTGTCCCGGGGTTACCCCGGGGCTGTACCGGGGCTGACCCGGGGCTGACCCGGGGCTGTACTGGGGCTACCCCGGGGCTGTCTCTGGGCTGTACCGGGGCTGTACCGGGGATGTCCCGGGGACGCCTCGGGGCTGTACCGGGGTTGTACCAGGGTTGCCCCGTGGCTATCCCAGGGCTGTACTGGGGCTGCCCCGGGGCGGTCCTGGAGCTGTCCGGGGCTGTCCCGGGGGTGCATCGGGGTTGTACAGGGCTGCCCCGGGGCTGTAATGGGTTGTCCCAGGGCTGGCCCGGGGCTGTCCCGGGGCTGTACCGGGCTGTCCCGGGGTTGTACAGGGCTGTCCAGGGGCAGCCTTGGGGCTATCCCGGGGCTGCACCGGGGCTGTACCAAGGCTGTCCCGGGGCTGTCCCAAGGCTGAATCGTGGCTGTCCCGAGGCTGTACCGTGGCTGTCCCAGGGTTGTACCATGGCGGT